AGAACGGAAAAGAAAAAAATACGAGGAAAGGAAAAAATGGGAACAACATGGGGAATGGTGGAGGTGGGGTAAAGGGAGGGCTGGGGAATGGGGGGAATAATAAGAACCAAGATACGTCATGTAAAGGTACAAGATCCCAATGATGAATGTAACTGTACTGTATACCTAAAAAGTACCAATAAACTTAATGAGAAAACAAAAGGGACGTAGTCTTGTCCATAATTTTTTAATGTATGTGTTATTTATACAATTTGAGGTTTTTTTTTTTTTAAAGAGTAGAAGTATTTATTGAGAGATAGCTTCTGTCTAAGAGAAACAGAAGAGGTCCAGGGGATGGCCCAGTAGTTTTGAATATTCAAAGAAAGAAAAGAATTAAGGGAATAAGAACTAGAGAATGGGAAAGTATACAGTGCAGAATATGGGTACAGTTTGATAAGGAGAAAGAGGAATTATTTTACTATTTAAAAACAAAGATGAATATAGAAATTGTAGTATATTGGAACAAAAATTGGCAAGCTGTCACCATGAGTCAGGGTGAGAGTGAAGGAACTTGTAGATGATGGTGGTTATAAAAATCAATAGATCACTTTGCTTAAATGTCTGAGGTCTAGAAGAAAAAAAAAACATTCAAGGGCAGTGAGGAAAGCATATGGTTTTTTTTCCTAACTTGTGAGACGATTTTTGAGTTAATGCCAAAGTGACATTATTTTTTGTTGCACTCTGTGGAAGTGAAGTAAGTTATACTCATTTCCATTGAAATTAAATTTGGTAACCTTGACAGCACTTTTCTGATGATTAACTGCTATGTAGAGGTGGTAATCTCCAAAGAAGTCAAGATGGCAAGGTTTAGATCAAACTTATATAAAGCAGTAATCATACCCAACAAGTTAATGAAATTTTTTTCTTTTGTCATCCATTCCACCATTACTTCTCAAAAGACAGATCTAAAATCTTGGTTTGTTACTTGTCTGTCTCAGGATTTTAAAATTACAAAAGGTAGACATGGTACTGTTTTGGTTTGGTGTAGTTTGGTTTTCTGCTTTAAATGTTAACTCCTAAATCTTATATATACTTTTCTAAAGTTTTATAGACCAACTAAGATTATAACTGAGATTTTAATCCAGAAAAATGGAATTAAAGTTTGCTTGCTTTAGTACAATTTTAATTAATTACTTTTTAACTTGGTAGTTTTTTGGTTTTGGGTTTTTTTTTTTTTTTAAAGGGGAAGAGTTTATTTGGCTTACAATTCATAGAGGTTTCAGTCCATAATCGGCTGGCTCCAAAGCAGGGTGGTATGGCAGACAGGCCTTGCAGAGGAGAAAACAGTTTATGGCAGCCACAAGGTGGCAAAAGCAACAAGAGACCTTACTAGCGTCTCTCTGCCCCTTTTATCCCATTCAGACAACTGGAATTAGGGCAGTGCCAAACCAGTCACTCACATGTAGTGGTTTAATAATCACACACCCATAATCCTAGCATCACACATTCAAGATTCAGCCACATCCAAAAAAGACTGTGTGAGGCTTTGGGGGGACATCTAGACACAAGGCACAACATTCTGCCCCTGGGCCCTCAAAGACTCGTACACATTCCTTTATGAAAAAGGCAATTAGGCCATCTCTAAGAGTTGCCAAAATCCTAACAGTTTCAGCATTGCTGAAAAGTTCAAATTCAAAGTCTCTTCTGAGACTGAAGACAAATTCTTAGCTGCAAGTCCCTGTATAAATGGAAAGTTAAACACTGGAACATTCAATGGCGTAAGATAGACATTTCCATTCATAAAGTTACAAATAGGGAGATACAAAGGAATGGGAACAAAGCAAATCCAAAATTCAGCATGGAAACATTAAGTCCTATAGTTCTACTTCTAGCATTTCTTACAATCTTTGGCAAGTTGTAATCTCCAAAGGCTTGAGTGGCTCTGCCCCTGTGGTGCTGCAGATGGTTGTATCTCCCAGGGCTACTTCCTTGGGCCAGTTCTGCTTTCTCCTTGCAGCTTTCCTCAGATCATACGCATTCCTGGCTTCTCTAAACTTCTGGGGTGTCCTCTGCACCTTTGGCTTTACACTCAGAGCTTGACACCCTGCTCTCTCAGGGACACTGCCTGGCTTCCCAGGCCTGAAATCTAGGTGAAGCCTTCCTGACCCCATAACTCTTATATTCTGCATTTACCTAAAACCAATACCACATGGATGATGCCAAGGTCTGCTGCTAGCTAGACTAGTAGTCTTCCCTTTCTCTTCTGTCTTGGCTGTAGGGATCAAGTGCCTGGATCACTAAGCACTGTAAAACCCAATTCCGAGGAACAAATTCTCTAGGTCACTGCTATTCTGGAACCTGGTGCCCTGGGGCTTTCTTCTCAAAGCAGTCTTTTGTTTTCGCAATTTTGAGGCTACAAAAGATGGCTGCTGCTGCTGCTTGTGATGTTCTCAGGTCATCTTTTTTATTCTCCTCTCCCTTCTCAGAAATCAGGATTTCCTCTGCTCTGTCTTTGCAGTCCACAGCTTTACTGAAGTGTCCCTTCTGGACAAACTCAAAACATTTAAAATTATTCTGCTGGGCCTTTGGCTCCACAGAACTGCCTGAAAGCCCCCAAAAGCAGCCATACCACAGCCTCAACATTAGCCTGCCTCGAAATTACTTCAGTAAGATTAGTTTGCCTGCTGCCCTAATCTGAATCTCAGGCAGTCTCTGGACCTGAGCAAAATGCAGACAAACTCTGCCAAACCATAACACACATCATCTTTTTAACTTGGTAGTTTTAAAAGCCACCAAAGCTAGGCATAGTGGCGCATGCCTGCAATCTCAGCACTTGGGAGGCTGGGGCAGGAGGGTCACAGGAATTGGAGCCAGCCTGGACTACCTAGAGACAGACCCTATCACAAACAAATAAACAAGGCCACTGAAAAGGTAGGACAAGGCAGACAATTCTTAAAATATGCAAGGCAAGCACATTAACATTTCATCTCCCAATTTATTCTCTAAAACTTCCATTAAGATAAATTTTTTAAAATCTGACCCCTGATATATTATACCTCATGTCTTCAAAACTTTCATTGTTTTCTTATGAAATTAAATTCAGTGTAGTTACAAAATGCAAAATAGTAAAATATTTCCTGTTTCCATTGCACAAAAGATTTTTTATAGCTGAATTTAGTTTAAATACTTCTAAAATTCCATTATCTAAGCACAATAACATAGAGGCAGTTCTTAAGTGAGAATTAGTTAAAAATAAGTTCCTTTTTGCCCAGACTAGCAAATACATGGTTTTATCTCTTCTTACTGATAGTTCATGAACAGACCCTGTGAAAGGAAGTGCTGCCATGGTAACATAAACCAGACTGTTATTTGAGACCATACTCAGGATACTTAACTGCCCTGAAACTGCAAGTTTTCAAAACCAGTTCTTGCAATTTGCTATTTCAAGGAAATAGCCATTCTACTGTGATCAAAACAGCTTGCAATCTTTTCACAATAGAATTTGAAAAATAAACTTGAAGTCTAGAAGTGTAATATCAGGAATACCATGATAGAACTTGGCTAGAATTGTTGAAATAATTGTCTTGCTTAATGTATGAAAAATAATCCATATCTTTTCTATATGAAACTGAATTGGTTTTGGAGCAAAGGATGTGGATGTTAAATGCTTTAAATTTTTATTTCCCTATCATCCAAATACATTTATCACCAGAGTAAGTGACTGTGCAAGTGATTAAGTTTTATCACTTAATCCATAAATACATTTGTAGCACTTTTCTTGGAAAAGATTGTAATGTCAAATACTTGTTGAGTGTAATTAATGTGCTTACTACTGAATACCAGTGTGCCAGGACAGCCATAGTTTTTCTCTTCCTATACATGTAGGTTGCTAGGATGTTTAACAGTGTCTTAAATTCAGCTGTTGCACCTATCCACAGCTGATGTTTCTTTCAAAATTTATTTTGTCCCTTGTTCTTTATTACCTAACTTTTTTCTTTTATTTAGAATTAGTTTTTATTGATGGTTTTGTTAAACTCCTTCATCTCTTGGGAGTGAAAGAGTAAGAAGGTCTTTTTTTTTGTTATTCAACCAATATTCAATAATTTACTCAGTGCCAGTTACAAAATAACTCTTTGGTATTCATTTATTTTACAACTGTGTTACTTATACATAATTATTGAATCTAATCACAGTTCTGTGAAGTGGCCTGAATTGTTCTTTTTTTGTGGATAAAATGTGAATGAAAGGTAAGGCTCTGAGAAAGTAAATGATTTGTCCAGTATTAGCCAGTCAATAAGCAGTGATCAAGATCAAGATCAAGATCAATATGGAACAATATTCTTTCATTATGTCATTCTTCTATAAAAATTATGATGCAACCCTCAAATAATGGACTAATATTTAATTTGAAAAAAATTAGAAAATGGAAGCACTGTGGAGATTACATGAAATCTTATAGAGGATTTCATACAAGCAGAAATGATTCAGGAACAGGAAGCAAGTATATTTTATTGGTTTCTTTTGTGATGGTAAGGATCAACCCACGGCCTCACACATGCTAGGCAAACATTTGCCACTGAGCCGTATTCCCAGCCCAACTTTATTGTTTTGTAAAGAATTGTTAATGAAGTTGTAATGTGTAATTCAAGAGTTTTTATAATACAGAAGCATAATCTAAAACGATGTTAATGAATTTGAACCTCTCTGGTCTCGTAAGCTAGTGGAAGTTTCGTATATCATATGGTAGCTGTAATCATGCCTAGCAAGCTCATTTCAGGTTTTCATAGTGTGCAAAAGATACCACAGGGCTTTTCCCCAGTGTTTCTTTAAAACTTTCTCACTGTATCTATGTAAAAGCCCCCAAGTTGCCAGGCGTGGTGGTTCACGCCTGTAATCCCAGCACTCTGGAGGCTGAGGCAGGAGGATTGCTGCAAGTTCAAGGTCAGCCTAAACTACAAAACATGATCCTGTCTAAAAAAAGAAAAGTTCTGGGTTATTAATTCTTGTGCAATTTGTCTTAGGTTAATGGAAAAGGTTCCTTGTGGTGTGTTGATCCAGAATATAAACCCAATCTCATGCAGGCACTGAAGAAGCAACCTTTTTCCTCTCCACAAAGGTAAGAATTTGCCACATAACTGTCCGTGGTGATCATATTTTATTGTGTGAGATGAGAAACTTAAAGTTGTGAGTCATTATAAATTTAATTGTATTTATAAGTATTTATGGATGACATTAAGACATTTTTACTCAGGTTTAATTTGTGTTAAACACAGGAAAACAGGAAAACAATTGAATCAGGTGCTGAGATTTATACCTATAGTCCCAGCCACTCCAGAGGCTGAGGCAAAAGATGTCAAGTTTGAGGTCAGCCTGGGTAACTTAGTGAGGCATTGTCTCAAAATAAAATAAAAATGACTGGAGATGTACCTGGGTACTAGAGCACTCGCCTAACATGAGCCCCTTGTGTACACACACACACACACACACACACACACACACACACACACACACACACGGGAAATTTAGTCATTACAATATATTACAGAGAAAGTTATGATTTCAGTTGCAGAATTAAATTATTTTAATTATTCGTAGTACCTCTAAGACATGGGAATTTTGTTTAGCAGTAGAGTGTCCTTATATCACCCTGGGGTTGCCTACAACTCAAGAAGAACCTCCTGCCTCAGCTTCTTCAGTGCTGGGATTACAGAATGGATACCACTGTGGGTGTCCAGTTTATTTAAAAATTTAAATGAGATGATTAATAGTTTGAGATTTTTATATGCGTACTGCATTTATATTTTTTTCTAAATTTTTGTCTTTCATAGTATTTTTAATGTTTAAAAGTATGTTCGGGCCAGGGATTTAGCTCAATGGTACTGGCACACTGGTACCAAAAAAAAAGTATGGTCATGTCTAAAATTTTAAGTGGCAAGTAAAGTAATACTCTGAAGGTTTTTTGTAAATGTTACTGTAGTGTATTTCCTTAAAATATCTCTTCAGGTTGTATTTTTAATCCCAGTGGCTCCTATTGATTTTTCAGGCTTTCTCATTGTGAGTTAAATCTGAAAATTACTTGACCTCTTCAGGTCTGGTTTTGTTTTCTTTTCCTAAGCAGCCTAAATCTTTAAAAATTCTTATTATGCACATTCATTTGAGCTGAAAATGCCAGATTTTATTAAGATAACTTTAAGGTGGTTTGTATTGCCTTTTTTTTTAATATGGCCAGGCATGGTGACACATGCTTGTAATCCCAGCACTTGGGAGGCTGCAGCAGGAGCATCACTGTGAGTTCAGGGACACTCTGTACAAGAAAGACCCTATCTCAAAAAACAAAAAAGGAAAGAAAAATAATAAAAGGATCTTAATAAATAAAACATTTCAAGCATATTCATAGGAGAAAATACTAGTTAACTTTCAACTGCAACAGTTATCAGTATTTCATATAGTAGTTTGTTTGAATTCTCTCTTTTTGGCACAGTTCTAGGAATCACACCCATATCCTTCCCATTGAGCTATATCCCCCACCCCCCTTTTTTTTTTGAGACAGTCTTGCTTGTCTAAGTTGCTAAATTTCCTGGGCTGGGCTGTTACTTGGCCATCCTCCTGCCTCAGACTCTCTAAATGCTGGGATTACAGGCATGTACCACCCTGCCTGGCTCATTTGAGTTCTTGTTATTAGAGAGCTTTTAAAGGACAGTTTGTAGCTGAAATACAGAAACAAACAAATAAAACTAGGAAAGCTAAAGTTGACCCATAACTAGTTGAGAATTTAAGTTGTTCTGCTGTTCCAAATCTTAACCAAGCCTTGACCCTGCTTAGTTTGCAAGATCAGACGAGACCAGGTGCATTCAGGGTGGTATGGCCATAGACGGAATTTAAGTTGTTTACCATATTTGAAGATTAAATGGATCATTGAAAATGGAACTACTAAGTAATTTCTCTTTATGGAGTAAAACTAAGAAGTTACCCAAGTTTATATACTCATTTGGGAATTCATCTCTTATTTATTAGTGTTGGTGCTTATGAGATATTCTAAATAGTAATTTAGAAACTAGAAAGTTCTGTTTATGTTCACTTATTTGTTTTATTTAGCTTTTTGTTGTTGTTTTTGATTTTTGAGAGAGGACCTCGCTATATAGTTCAACCTGACCTTGAACATGCCTCAGCCTACTGAGTACAGTATTATAAGCATGAAGCACCACACCCAGCTTTTTGCTTTTCTTTTTAATTAAAAATTCAAGAAGGGAAAATTGGCATTTTTTTAATCATCATAAATTTTATGTGCAGGTGCTGTGTTGCATTTTAGTTATTTTAGCCTTTAGACATTAAACAAAGGTGATTTTTGTATAAAATACTTTGAATAATAGCAGAAAGGTTATCAATATTGGCTTTAAAGCCTTAGTAATGTGACATTTTCTCCTTTTTCTCTTTAGCAAAGTAAAAATTACATCTGACATACTTTTGAGTATCTAACCCTCTAATCAAGTCTGAGAAGAGAATGAAATATGGTATATGTAAAACTTGTCAATAGGAAATTAACTTTATTATCAAAATTTTTTGTACTATCACAATTTCCAAAGAACAAATAATTTTTCTCAAAATTTTGTATTTTCTGGAAACAATAAAACTGTTAATGTCTTTCCATAAATATAGAAAGTTTAATTTGATAACTGATATTTGTTAATAAAATACAACTTAACTGTTACTATTACCATACAATCTTCCTTCAACACTTGTTTTGGTATATACTTTTGAATTCTGTGATAATAGCTATGTTAATGTTATATAAAATTTAAATATCTAATATAAAACCAAATAAGAATTTAAGTATTATCAATTGTTCTAGGTATTTTAAATGCACTATTCTTTTTTGTTCTAGTCTTTTAGGCAAAGTCTTGCTATTTAGTTCAGGCTGGACTTGAACTCACTGTGTAGTCCAGGTTGACTTCAAACTCGCAGATCCTCCTTCCTTCCTCAGCTTCCCAAGTGCTGGGACTATTGGTGTTTGCCTCCACCCCTGGCTTAAATGCACTATTCTTACTTAACACAACAACCCTATATGAGAGATTTAATTATTCCTAAGATGAAGAAACTAAGAGATTAATTATTTTGTATAAGAATATCCAAATAATTATGATTTAATCTTGGTCCCTATGCACTCTTTGCTTTGTCAGACTCTTCCTAAATTGAGTATTGTTAGCAAAGAAAACAAGGTAAAAATAGTTTGTATTTTTAATGCTACAGATTAGTTGTATTTGTGACTTAGTCCTACAAAAAGTGAAATAAAGATGTTATAAGCACATTTGTCTTTTCTGTTCATTTTTCAGTGGTTCTTTATCACCTCACTACATAACCTCTGTTCTCAAGCAGAACCAGGTGCGAACCCTCAAAGGTATGTGTGAAGTTTAAAAGTCTTTTAAGTCATAAAAACGTTTATTCTTTTTTGGTAGGGGGTGGTACTAGGGGTCGAACTTGGGACCTTGTGCTTGCAAGGCAGGTAGCAGAACCACTGAGCTAAATCCCCAATCCAAAACATGGGTTTGAATTTAGGATTCTGTTTAATGTTTTTCGCATTATAAATTATACATTAATTGCAGAAGACTTGGGCAATAAAACAGTTGTAAAAAGAAAAGTAAAAGTCACCCTTATTCTATTGTTAGCATTTTGGTATAATTTTATGCTATATTGTGAGTTGAGACGCTTGTGTGTGTATACACACCCATGCCCACATGTACACCCACACCCACATTTACGTATTTTTTCTTAATAGCCCTAGGCCTTGGGCATGCTATGCAAATGCTCTACCACTAAAGTAGGTTTCCAGCCCTATTCTATTTTTATTTTGAGAAAGTCTCTTGCTAAGTTGTCCAAGCTTGGCTTGAATTTGCCATCCATCTACACTGGCCTCCTGAGTAGTTGGGGTTACAGGATTGCTCCACCATGTTCAGCTTTCACTTTCATTTTTTCCTTGAAAATAGGATTTAATTTCTCAGTGATACTATCAGTGGAGTTATCTTTGCCTGTGTTTGTGTGGCTCATGTTCTGAGGACGGCTTTATATTTATAAAATGGCTGGGGAAGAACATCAGAATAGCAATAATATTTGAAGACATGAAAAAAAAACTGTCCTGCAAAGCATAATACTTATTTTCTGATCCTTTGATGAAGAAATTTGCTATCTCTTAGGCTAGAATATAGTTCAGAATATTTCTTTTATAAGTTAACTGAAGAGCCTTAATTTAGGAAGTTTATAAATTTACTTTTAAAGAATTTTTTCAGGCTTTTAAAAATCCAGTCAAATTCTGAATTAGTGGATTTTTCATGCTTATAATTAATTTTATATATTCATAGTATGTTAAAATGAGTTTTTGCTACGTTGTTGGATTGAAGTCTAGAGACATTTCCGTGGCCTACAAAAATGAAAAGACTTGGACTAAAATTCTTTCTGTATATCAAAGACATTTTTGCTCTTTGGACCTCAAAAGCATTGTGTTGATATTTGTAAAAAGAGGGAAAGAGTGTGAAAGAGCATTTGGAGAACTCTGCAAAACAATTAAGTCAGTAGAAAATTGGATAATGTTCTGCCTTAACATAAGGCAAGTACAGTATCCATTTTCTTGTTACTTGCATGGTGAAATGTGTACCCCTTGCCTCTAGGTATTGCTGAAATTCCCATCTTTTTATTGCCTCAGTAACTTCTGATTCTTACACTCTGAAGTTCAATTCATATGCACATTATGAGAACATACTCTTCATAGAGTCTCAGGTTTAATTAAGTTAAAATCTCTTCTTCCTCTAATTTCATTCAAATCTGGCTTCTTCCTTTGGGGAGCAGACATTTCTACAAGTCTCCTGCTAGTTGCAGCTATAGTTTTTCATAACTAGAGCACAGGTGCTACTTCTTCATCTGATAGCTTGCACATATTATGCATTCTCTCTAGTGCCGACACCTTACTTCCCTCTAATACCAACATTCTTGAGAATAAAAGATAAACTGAAGAATGTTGCCTAGTCATAATTAACTAGATGGGGAAGGTGATTGGGATTCTAGATTAAAACACCTGCAGGTCTGTTCTGGAATAGAATGCGAAATTCTTGTGTTTTAAGGAGAAAAACATGAAATCTCAAAAAACAACCACATTTATATTCAAATCTGGCTATTTTAGGGCATATTCATAAATTTTGAGAAAATTCGTTTCTGTGTTTTTATTCTAGAGAAATGTTTGAAAACACCAAGTGGATTAAATGTTCACCACAAGTAATTATTGAGCTGCTATATCTCTCCAGTTATAGTAGATGCTTTGGGATGTACAGAGATGAGAGGCTGAGGCCCTGCTCTCAGAAAACAGTTTAATTGAAGAAGAGTGAAGAATTAAGCTTAATGAGGGTCATAAAAGGCCGCTTAGAGAAAGAAGTGTGATAGTTGAGCTGGACCTCAAAAGATGGGAGGGTACTTAACTGCTAGGAGGACAGCTTGCTGAGGAGCAGGCAGAGGGCAGAATGATAACAGGAGACAAAGGATGGCAGGGGTCTGTCTGGCTGGTTGAAGAGTGCAACTAAAGCCTAGGCAGTGTTAGTGAACAAACAGCCTGCTGTGGTACATATGCCATAGATCTTCCACCACTGGCCTAGGCACACAGAAGGCCAGCTAGATGTGGTCACTTAGCATGGGCTAGGGGGAGGAAGCAGAGCTTAAGGTGTGCTTATTTTTCACAATAAGGAGTTTTAACTTATTTCTCTGAAAATAACACAGCATTTAGTTACATCGCCTCATTCGGTCCTCACAACTGTCCTTTGGGGAAACTGTCACTACCCCCACACACTTTAAAAAAAACAAAAAACAAATAGAGAAACTGAACTTTGGAGAGATTAATTTAAGGTAACAAAACTAGTAAATGGCCTCAGTACTGTAATGAGGTGACATAATGAGTTTTGTGTTTTATAAAGATTACTTAAAGACTCACTTCATAGAATCAACTTTTAATCATTATAGTAGAGATTATATATTTAATCATTATATTAGAGATACAATTAGACAAGTAGGGTTAATAGCAAACATTATGTTTAGGAACTCCAGAAACCATGATCAGCCAAAACCAATGCAGCAATTTGTTTAAAGTCTCTTGGTCAACTTGCTAATTTTATGTGCCAGTATCTGTATTGCAGCACTGTATAATATGTAGCAGGAGACTTAGGACTTTCATACTGAGAGCAAAATAAAACTTCTTGGTCAAGATTTTGGCTTGGTGTGTGTTTGGAATAAATTCATGTTTAAAAATATTACTCAGATGTACTGAGATAGTGTTCAAGGCACCAGTCTATCAGTAAACAAAATAGACAAAAATGGAATTCAAATTCCAATTGGTAAATTTTAGTATTTATACTAAAACACCTAGTATTAGTAAATGTAAAATTAAGGCAGTTGGTGTGTGATGTTAGGGGCTAAGTGTACATCTAAACTGAATTTTAAGATTTCAGATTTGCAGAGTTTATATTTTAGTAAAATGAAAGTGAACCAATGAGCCAGACTGCTTATTGTTGTCCTACTCTGAAGCATTACAAGAGCATTTCTCCATCTGTATGTTTTGTAAATGTGTATGTTAGTTTTGATAGAGGGACAATAAATCCCTTTATGGTTATAATTGAGCTTAAAACTATTTAAATTCTGATTCTGCAGTTCCCATATCATTTCCTTAAATGTAGGGATTGTGAATCAGATAGCAGAAAGGTGTTTGTCTTATAACCTTTACTTTCACAGGGCTAAAACTGGTATCTTGATTTTTTTTCTCAATTATTGTTAATCATATCCTAGGATCTTGGCTAAGGAAATATAAGCCAGGAAAGAGAAATTAACATTTTTGATAGATCTTTATTGTTATGGAATTAGTAGCATTTTGTGTACTACCAATTTTTTGTCCCTGATGATCTAAGATGTTAGATAATATAGCTAATAGTGTTGCTATTTAAGGAGTAGACACCTTTAAAATAGCACAAGTACTTTCTCTGTGAAAAAATAACATTATGAAGTGTTTTCAGTGTGACAGTAAACAAATGAGTCCTAAATTTAAATTTAATACCCAAACTGATTGAGTTGTACTATAAATAAAATTTGTTTGTAAATTCTACCCAGAGAATTTTTGTTCCTTTTGATCTAAGAAGTTCAAGACTGTGTGTTAGACAAATCATTGATAATCAAGTGCTGTTGAATACTGCAATGTTTTGGGTCATTTCTTTGCTTATTTTTAATATTGAGGTTAAGTGGCAAAGCATGGCAAAGCACGTGTTTTAAAACAGTCTAAATAAAATCAAATATAGGTAAAATCTTTTTCAAAGAAATATTTGGTTTCACAAAGTTAATTTCTTTTCTTTTTGGACAGTCTCTCTATGTAGTTCAAGCTAACCTTAACCTCACTATGTAGCTCAGAATTTTGAACTTGCAGCCATCTCCCTGCTTCAGCCTCTTGAGTGTTGAGATTATGGACATGCCTGACCACTACTGACTACAAAGTTAATTTCATGCTGTAGAATTCAAGTTAAACTGGGTATAACTTCTCTACCAGGAATATTTTTCCTATCATTCTACTTCTATAGAAACAATACCTAGCCAGGCATGGTGCTGTATACTTCTAATCCTAGCACTCTGGGAGACTGAGGCAGAAGATCAGAAAGTTTGAGCCAGCCTGGGCAATTTAGGGAGACCCCATCTCCAAAAAAAACAAAAAAGTGCCAGATACGGTGTACGCCTGTAATCCTAGCACTCAGGAGACTGAGTCAGGAGGATTGCCGCAAGTTTGAGGCCAACCTAGGCTACATACTGAGTTCAAGACCAGCCTGAACTACATAGCAAGACCTTGTATCAAAAAAATGAAAGGAGGGACCAGGAGTTTAGCTCAGTGGTGCTGTGCCAGCCTGGCAAGTGCCAGGTCCTGAGTTTGATCTCCGGTACCAGAAAAATTAATTTTAAAAAAAGAAAAAGAAAAAAAAAAAGAGAGAGAGAGAGAACTGGGGCATTTGCTCAGTGTGAAGGCCCTAGGTTCAATCCTCAGTACTACAAAAATTAATTTTAAAAAAGTTAGAGTACCTACTTTTATCACTTGAAAAATTCAGAAACTTCAAAAGCAATGACATTCATGTAGTTTTACCAAGATATTTTCAGAATAAGCCTATTAACCAGTTCAATGTGTACTTCTATTTTTAATAAAATTTTATAGGTGCTTCACTTAAGTGAGAAATATTTGTAATTTGTGGTTCATTATAATACTGTTTCATGTTAGATTCTCTTCCTTAGCACTACCTCCCTCATTTACAAAATTGCAAAGTATGTTGATTCTTTTATATGAAAAGAAAAATTATTGCTGGTAATGATGGTGCACACCTGTAATCCCAGTGCTCCGGGAAGCTAAGGCAGGAGAATCCAAAGTTTGAGCCCACCTTTGGCAACTTAGCAGTTTTGCTAGACCATGTCCCCCAAAATAACAAAAGTTCCAGGGATGTAGCTCAGTGCAAAGGCCCTGGGTTCAATTCCCAGTAATGCTAAATAAATAGGTTCATTCCTGGAACACTATCTTCCTGCTAGGGCTTTTGCCTAATGTCATGGGCACCTGGCCGAGGCAGAGTGGACTCTGAGATCCAGCCCACACTCCCCTTTTCTAGCTGCATGGGCCTTGAATAGGGAAACCTTTGCCTGCAGGACAGTATAGGCTAGCAGGTGCACTTTCATAGACAGTTTAAAATTCTGAACACTTTTCAGACTGTCTCAGGTCTCATTCTAAAGAGAAATTGGGAGTCTTTGTTTTCCTGGCCTTTCAACTATGATGAGTGGGCATCATTGATTTCGGTCCTTCATACTTAATGTGCTTTCTGCCTGGAGTGCTTTTCCCTCACCTCACCTCCCTGAGGCTTTGGCCCAGCTCTTCCCTTCCCCTTGAGGACTTCCTGGCCTCTCTGTAAAATGTATTGAAATGTCCTCCCCAGTGTTCATCACTTTATATTATGTTTTAATCCTTTGGGTTCTAAGAGGTTAGGGATTTTACTATTTTGTTTTCTGCCGTAGCTATATTCACAGCCTAGAATGATGTTAGACTCACAGTAAGACATTGAGTTTATCGAATGAATGACAGAATAGAGCATTCCCAATATATTGTATTATTTCCCAAAACATTTCTTAGAGTTATGATAACACAGAAAATAAGACACAGTTCCTACCCTAAAGAAGCTGACAGTGTAATTAAGACAACAGTAATGTAGACACTCTTGTTTCACAGGGTCACAGCTTATTCAGGGGAAAAGAGTTGTATGGCATTGTGTGCTATCACATTGCAGACAATATGAAAGATGTATCGGAGCCTGATAATTAAAGTCAATAGCAATAACGTTTCCCATCTTAAAAGGGTTTATGGTCAAGTCCGGAGGCAAACAAGTCAGTATCCTCATGGCTTTCTTTTTAAATCTGTGACAATGTTATAATTAGGCATTACAAGTAAATTGGAAAACTGTAGTGTAAAAATTTACAACTTTAAGATATACATAGAAGTCTTAATATCTGGATATTTTTAAAATGTATTTATTTATACACATTTTCTAATTTTTTCCTAACTTTTGTCTCCCCTTCTGCCCCTCCCCCCTCTTTTTTTCTTTCAGATAAGGTCTCACTCTGTAATTCAGGCTGTTTTTGAACTCAGTATGTAACCCAGGCTGGCCTTGAACTCGTAAATTTTTTTCTTTACTTTTTTTCTTCAATTAATTATTCACACTAATTCATCACCAACAATGGAAGAAAACTGATATAAATAGGTATGAGAAGATAATGACTTTATCAGTTGTAGAATCTGATTTGACCAGCATTTTAAATCCCTTTCTTCTCATGAAATAGCCATATTTATGTCTAACCTTGTGAATACTATTTAAATCTCTAGGGCTTATAAGCTTGTGAATAATCATAATGGAAACATTACATATTAGTAATATTTTTGTTCCCACAATAATTATTCATTTAGTTGCCAGGCATAGTGGCACATACCTGTAATCCCAGCACTTGGGAGGCTGAAGCAGGAAGATCACAAGTTCAAGGCTAGCATGGACTGCATAGTGGGTCCTTGTCTCAGAAAAAAACAAAAACAAAAATAATTCATGTAGCATTTATACAGTGAGATGATCTGGACTGACCAGTTATGTGTACTTTTAAATTTTCATTTGTATTAGTACATATTTACAGTACATATACTAATATTATAATGATTATATTCATCATGGGGAGTTTCATGTACATAACACATCTTAATCGTTTTTTTGTATCCCCTTCCCTCTCATCTTTTCCCCTCCCTCCATCTGTTGGTCCCCTTCACATTTGAAAAATATGTACCTCCCTGTTTCCTGTTATCTATCTTTTATTTTACTCTTTAATTTATTTATGCTTTGGATTTTTCATATAAGAGAAAGTGCTCAGTATTTAAATTCATGTGTCTGATTTATTTCATTTAACATTACACCTCAGGGTGCATCCATTTTCCCATAAAAGACTCAACTAAATCCCTTATAGCAGAGTTTCACTTTTATATATAAATACCACATTTTCTTTCTCTATTCATCCATTGATGGACATTTAGGTCCCTGCCAAGATTTAGCTGTTATGAGTTGTTCTGCTGTATACAGGGTATGCATGGGTACCACTGAAATATGATGTCTTTAACTCTTCTGGAAAGATACCTACAGTGGGGAGTAGCTAAGTCAAATGGGATTTTCAGTTTTAGTTTTTTGGGAGAATCTCCATAATGATTTCCATAGTTTACTCCCAACAACAATGTAGCAGGGTTTCTTTTACCACACAGTCTCACCAGCATATTTACTATTTGATTTCTGGTTGATGGCCATTCTTTCAGAGTAAGATGGAATCTCATTTTGTGTATCTTTTTCTTTTTAAGATTAGAAACATTCTCTTTATTCATAGATATAATCTTGTTTACAGGAAATTCCAATAAATTCACAGCTGAATTGTATTTTCCAATTTATCCTTGCTTGTGGAGGCTTTCCCTTCTTTACTCAATAAAATGAACAGTTTCTGTTTTTCAAGGCACTTTTCTTGGTGATCAAAACAATTATTTAGATGAAAACATTCAAAGATTTCTGAATCCAGTCCCTCCCCAGCAAACATGCATCCAACATAAAAATGAAAGGACATCATCAATATATATTTTGGCAGCTGCTGAATGAGACTACAGCTGAATCTCCTATAGACTGCCATGTTAAACTGTGTTGCTAAGAGATAAGTAAATGCTGTCTTCCTCAACCACAGGGCAAGTTGCATTTCTTTAATGGCCAAAGATGTTAAACATTTTTTCATGTATTTATTGGCCATTTGCACTTATTCAGAGAAGTAGCTCTTCATTTCAGCTGCCCATTTTTGAGTGAGTCTTTTATTTGGAGGGGTCTAATTTTTTTTTTTTTTTAGTTCTTTATGTATTCTAGATATTAGTCCTCTGTCTGAAATATACCTGGCAAAAATGTTTTCCCATTCTGTAGGTTGCCTTTTCACTCTTTGCTATGCAGAAGTTTTTTAATTTGCTGTGAATCCCATTTGTTGATTCTTGATGTTATTTCTTGTGCATTTTGGGGTTCAGAAAGTCTTTGTGCCTATATCTTTAACAGTTTTACCTATTTATCTTCCAGCATACTGTTTTAATATTTAAATCTTTGATCTTTTGATCTAGTTTAGTACGTGGTGAGAGTTAGGGGTATAGACTGAACTTCTGCATGTAATATGGTTAGTTTTCCCACTATCATTTCTTACTTTGTCTTTACTCCCACGTTTTTGGCCCCTTTGTCAAAGATCAGATGGCTGATTGTGCCTGGGGTTAGTTACATGTATTTTTGTCTTCTGCAACTAGCATGAGCTTGTCATATTTAACTGCAGATATACATAGGATATTATTCAAGGAAAAATGCTCAAAAATAGTAATGCTGTACAGTTTTAGCTAATTTAGTTTTAAGAGTGAGCCTTTTGAAGCACAGTTCAAATGTTTATTTTTCATTGTGAATAAAGAGAACTTGTATTTTCTCTAGTACCTCTCTATTCTTTTACATAATACTGTTCACAAAACTGTTCCATAATTTAAGTGAACAAAAGAGATTGCACAGTAATATGTATGATGTCATATGATGTTTAACTTATGTCTGTGCCTTTTAAGCAGGAAAATGTGCAGCAAAAAATCTTGGTGCTGATTATCTTTGAGTGCATGCAAATACTTCCATTAGCCTCTCTTAAAGGACATTAATGTTGCCACTGTTTTCCCTTTTCAGAATCTGATATTGATGCTGCCACTGCAATGATACTTTTAAATACTTCTATAGAACAAGGGATTTTAGAATGTAAGCAATCATGCTTTTCTTTTCAAAATAAATATGAGTACCTTTTAAATTTAATTTAGAATACAAAATATTTTAAGTGTCATGGCAAATTACTTTCCAGTTAAATTATTTTAATCTGAATAACTTAGTTTCTGTTTATATTTCCATTTATTTATATGAACAGTTAAAAGATTGAAGTTAATGCTGAGAAATATTTTAATATTGACCAAGAAATGGAGAACATAGAATATTTAGAAAATGAGCTTAAAAGAGCTAAAAATAAAAATGAAAGGTATTGATAAGAAAATACAATTATAACTTTGAACAGGAAAAGCTTCTTTAAGACACAAAACACAAAATCTGTACAGGAAAGAGATGGGTAAATTTACAGTTACTTAGGAAAAGTAACCAAAGGAGCCTGTGGGGATAGCTCAGTGGTAGGGCACTTGCATGGCATGTGCTTGTGTGCCATCCCCTCGTTGCTCTCTAGCACCACTAAAATAAAGGAAGAAAAGTAATGTAAACAAAATACTGCAGAATTTTTTAAACCATTTATTACATACAAAAGATTAACAGTGAGTCTCTAAAAGATCCTACAAGTAAGAAATTAAAAAGAGGCCAGGCGTTTAGCCCAGTGGTGCTACATTTGCCTTGCAAGAGCAAGGTCCTGGGTTTGATCTCTGGTATAAAAAAAAACCAAAGAAATTAAAAAGAAAACAGTTCAGCAGAAAAGTCAGCAAGAATATAAATAAGTGGATCTCAGAAGATGAAATAAATATGGATAGTATACATGCAAAAAGATGAAGTACTGTAGAAATTGAAGACATGGAATATAAAACAGAATTGAGGTGCTTTTGTGTGTGTGTGTGTGTGTGTCTCCGAGATTATAAAGAAAACAATGGCTAAACTGTGCATGGTGGCAAATGCCTGTTATCCTAGCTCTCCTGGAGACCAAGGCAGGAGAACTGCAAGTTCCATCCCAACTTGGGTAGTCTGACAAACTTGGCAAGGCCCTGTCTCAAAATTTAAAAAATAATAACAAATAATGGAATAAAAAGGGCTGAGTATGTACCTCTGTACAGAGGCCCTGGGTTCAGTCTCCAGTAGCTTAAAAAAGAAAAGGTTGAGAGTATGGGAATAGGTTTTGTCATATACCATTGCGTATTTAAGAATACCAATAATAATTTAAAATGTGTGTATCTTTTTACTTAGCAGTTGTATTTCTTGGTATTCCTCCTAGAAAAGTATTTGCATTTGTATGAGTAAAGACATCCAGAGAATTTTCACTTCAGCATTATGTATAGTAGTAAAAAATTGAGAACAATGCAAATACCAACAAATAGCTAATCCAAGTGCTATATTCATGTTGATGTTTTCTGTCGAGTAGTTTAAAATAATTATATGTTCTATGGAAAGGGCAAAGCATATTATTAAATGGTTTTAAAATATTTCAAAGTAATGAAATGAAAAATCCTATAAAACATTAATAATCTAAAGTACCTCATGCTCAGGAGTGGTAGCAGTAGTTTTCAGTGCTCTGTTTTGCAATTAAATACATTTGACCTAATGATGTAAGTTCTGTTTTCCACAGGTGAGAAGCCTCTTCCTCTTAAAACATCATTGCAAAAAAAGAGGAATTATGGCCATGCATTTAGTCATCCCAGTGCTGTACGATTACAAGAGAGCGATTCCTTAGCCACCAGCATTGATCCAAAAGAAGATCACAACTACAGTGCCAGTAGTATGGCAGCACAGCGGTGTGCCTCCAGGTCAAGCGTGTCTTCCCTGTCTTCTGTAGATGAGGTGTATGAATTCATCCCAAAGAATAGCCATGTAGGAAGTGACGGCAGTGAAGGATTTCATAGTGAAGAAGACACAGATGGTGATTATGAAGATGACCCTCTTGGAGACAGTGGCTATGTGGCACAGGCTTGTGTAGACACCTCTCAAAAAGGGCTCCCAGGCAAAAAGATGAGAAAACAGTCATGTCAGGAAATTGATGAGGAGCTCAAAGAGGCAGCTGGATCTCTGCTCCACCTTGCTGGAATTCGTACATGCCTAGGTTCCCTAATAAGTACTGCAAAAACACAAAATCAAAAGCAGCGGAAAAAATAGAAATACTGGTTAGTGTGAAATTATTTTAAAATGTGGCAATACTCTTCTACTAAAAGGGATATCAAAGCCATAATGGACTTCTTTCGTTTTAAGGTGGGGGAAGGGTGCCAATTACTTGTTTCCTTCAAAATACTTTTTGGTTACTTTTTTTTTTACATTTTTTATTAAATAATTGCTGTTAGGATCATGCCCAATCATAAATGTTATATAAAAACCTAAAAGCATAACTTTGATGATGTGTCTCTAAGATTTGAAAATTTTTATATAAGGAAATCCCTAGTTTCTCTCTTAAACTTAAAAGAAAAAAATATTTTTCTGTTAATACATCAAAGTGTAAAGTTTGGTAACACTATACCTTTTTTGTTTTCCTTTACATTCTGTATTTTTTTTTTTTTTTTTTTTTTTTTTTTGTACCAGGGATCGAACTCACAACCTGGCACTTGCAAAGCAGGTGTGGTGCCACTGAGCTAAATCCCTGGCCCTCCATTCTGAAACTAGCTGTAGTTGCTGATCCAACTAAAATTTTTCCTCATATCTTTCCCATATACTCCTCTCCTGACACACAATCTATTAGGATAAGCTTTAGATTTTTTTTCTCTTATTTTTTATTTAAGTTAGTTTTTGTTGTAGCATGAGCAAAGTCAAATATAAATTGGAAAAGATCTTAGATGTCTAGGAAGTTCCTTTTGGTTAACATAAGTACAGAATACAACAAAGAGTTCTAAGATTTAAACTCTTTGGGGTTGTGATTTCATCTAAATACTTTTTTTTTTTTTTTTTTGATACTGGGGATCAGACTCAGGTCCTTGAGCTTGTGAGGCAGAGAGCAGGACCACTGCCCTAAATCCCTGGCCCTCATCTAAACACTCTTAATTCCTATTATGATACAGTAGTATCTTTGAAATGTTTTTATTGAACAGATACTGTATAGCATTCATTGGAGCCCTTTTATTCTTTCCCAGAGTGCTTTGCAACCATTGTTTAAGTTTTAGCCACTATCTGTTTTTGTTGAATAGAAATTATCCAGTGAGAGGATATAGCCATAGAGTGTGTTATGGAGTAACATCCATTTTGACATACTTTTGCAATAAGAGAACCTTTTACTTGGTTTCTAAATACACTGCATTCTGAGAGTCTTATAGTAGGAATGGAGGGTAATGTTTTGAGTAATTCCTGTTTGTGTTATCATAAGATAAGGTAGGTCATTTAAGAAAAAAACTTCTTTCCAAATTTCATATGAGTTACAATTGCTGAATTAACTTTTAAAAGACATAATGAAACTGTAGAGATAAATACCTTCAGGGATTTAGAACTCTCAAATTAGATCTTATACAGTACTCTTTGAGGAGGCAGTACAATACTCACATGTGCCATAATCAATGCTATAAGATTTTATATTATTATTCCAAAAGTGCATTGACTAAGGTATTTTAAATATTTAATCAAAATCTGCTTATATAAGGCAGTTTTTCATGTCATTTACATAGTTTGACTATATTATTCAGAAAGAACAAGAGATACTAATACTATAATTCACTATATATATATATATATATACATATATATATATATAAATGTATGTATTTTTTACAATGTGGCAGCAGCTTTCCAGAAGTTCAGTCTTGTCTGATGCTATATCCTATGTAATAGACAATGAACTTGTTTTCATTTTTCTCATAATTTATATACATATACACACACATACAGTGTCAGGTTCATAATGTTAATTTCCTGCTTTCAGCCGTTTTTATGACAAACTTTTTTTGGATTTTTAAAGCAATGGCTTGTTTTAACTTTGAGCAAAACTGTCAAATGAGAATAATACAAAAGCATCTTTTTCCATTAATAAGACTTTAAGCTAGGGATAACAGCATTAAAGTTCTCTGTTGTGTTTATATTAATTTTAATTGAATCTGGATGGCCACATTAATAGAATTGGTGCTGTTGAAATCTAATACTTCTTTCATTTGGTGATAATATAGGATGAGACATTAAAAATAACAACTAACTCCATGTCTTTTACTATAGACATGAGTAAAAGGTGAAAAAAATTCATTTACCACACTGAATAGTACAAAGATTACAAATATCAATTTAATAACAAAATAATTTTAAGTTCTTTACTGTGGTCTCTGGGTAGAGCAGTGTAACACTCTTCAGTGGTTTGGTTCCACTCTGCCTTGTTCTAGCATTCTGCACCACAGCGGTCCTCCTGAGTCCTGTCTATCAGACACCTTCCACAGAAAGGAAGATGACGTACAATAAGGAGGGGGAGAGTTATTCTCAGCTCAAGTAGGGATCTTAAAAAGTTTTTTGTCTCAGTATACATAACAACTTTAAGTTCTTTGATTTTTCTCTCCTTCTTCATGTACTCTTCCCACAAATTTAAATGTTTAGGCTGCATTCATCACTTGTGAGGAAAATAAAGTCTTGTGCACTAAAAGGTAAACTGGGAGAAGTTGCACAATATTTTACCCTTGAGTTTTATACAGAACTCAGTGCATCACTTTTCATTTACTAATATATGATGGCAGTTATTTTCAAGAGGAAGAACCAAACTTTTAATTACTGTCCCCTTAGGACTTGCATTGAAATGATCTGAGTCTTCATTTGGGTTGAGATACAAATGTGGCTTATAGCCATCCACTTAAACGAAGCCATTCTAAGCCTTACGGACTGGAAGTCGTATGCCTAGTCAATAACAAATTTTGCTGTAATGACAACTTAGAGAGGTTATGTATTTTTCAACTTACTTTAAAATTGCGACTTAAGCTAATATTTAACTTGCTTTACATCAATATAATACAAATATTTGCAACAAATTCCAGTTTATAATAGATTTCCTATAAAAGTTTTATCTCAGCACAATTAATCTTAATGGTTCACATCCTAAATATGAATCAGTATTTCTTGAATATGTATTTTTGAATTTTATTTGTGCAATATATTACTAAATTAGTTAATATTTTTCAAATTCAGAGAAAGAAAACATTATCTGTATTTCATGGAAAAGCTATTGGTGGATCACCTCTCTTTTCCACCTTTGAGCTTTTCCTGTCCTCATAGTCAACGTGACTTCTCTTAATTTAGAGTCCCTGTATATTGTAAAGCTTAGTATATAATATTTTTTTTGCTACTTCCTGAGGCATTATGTAAAAGGTTCATGCTAGATAGTTAAATACACATTAGCATAAATTCAAAGATAAATTGTTAAGGAGGGAATGTATGTGTTTTGGTAGACCAGGAGGCCCTTCCCAGCAGTTTAAGCACCAGATTAGCAACAGAAATAAGTATTTCATAAAGTTATAAAAACTGTCTTTTCTGCTATAGTAACAACACCCATTTGTGGGGACTATAGTATTTAAGAAACTTTAAGACTTTCTGGTTTACATATACTTTATAGATTTTGTTAGTTTGAAATGTGTAAGCTTTGATTTAAATAAGGTTTACTTCAATGTTAATGATGTAGTCAAGATATTTATTGAAAGGCAAAATAATAGACTATTCTAATGTTATACCTGCCATATTTTTCTTTACATCTACTGCCAGTGCCATTGTCAAAACTTGTTTTTAAAATTGTTGTACATTTTTATTAAACTGCTTAATTTTCAAGTATTACGTTGCCATCATATAATGTATTAAAATGTATAATTGCCAATTCATTGTAACTATTATTTATTTTTTAAATGAAAGTATAAGAATGCTTTCCAATTCAAGACATTTATTGAACTGTTCTTCTTTTCTGGTGTAGTATAAAAGTTGTCCTGGGTTTGAGTTCTAACTGCCAGTAGGTAAACAGTCACAAGTGAACCACTTCTCGTTGCCAGTCTTTGCTCCTATTAAAAACAACTTACAAATGTTTAGTTTTTGTATCTAATCTCTGATTATTAAAATGTTTATAAAGTTTATTTTTACCAAAGAGATGCGATCCATTATGATAAAGTATTGCAGAATAAACTTTGTTTTATAACATTTTTGTGGTTTCTCTGTTCCTTGGGGAGAGGTAGAATGAGGTAGTTTTGTTGTTAGGTAGCTCCTGCACACATACTTTCCATTGTTCTGTTGCACAGTTGAGTCATACACATTAAAGTTTTAATTTCAGAATTTAAAAATCTGGTTTTACTGTTTTTATGATTTTTAGATATCTTAGTCATTGAAAGCTAAAATACTGTTAAGTGAGTCTCTTCCAAAGTTGAACTTTTTTCCTATTCATTACATATATATGAGACATTTTGAAATAAAGAAAAGTGGAGTAGAATATGAAATTATTTCTAAGGACAGTAATGTTACTTCAAAAATAATACCATCTGAAAATTGGAACATCCAATATAAGATGGCATAATCATATTTATAAAATCAACATTTTTGATCTTCAATTTCCAACCCCGTTGAACTTTTGTAGTACTAATTTACTATTTTCTAGATAGTGTTATTTGAAATGAGTCAAATAAGACAGCAAAATTGATTTTAAACTACCACCCCTTTTTCTGCCATCTCTTAAATGCAAAGTCATTTAAAAATCATAACCATGTGGGGATCATGTGTTTCTGAAAGAATCTTATTCTCATTGCAGTCATCATTATCTACCTCTTACTATTCTGAAAGGGAGAGAAACAAATACTTTTTTAGAAAAATAGCTGGAAACAAAGCTTGGTGATAAAGCACTTGCCTAGCATAATATAAATAAATTTTTGAAAAATCAGTGGGAGAGAAGAAAAGTCTTCCATGCAGAATTCCAAATAAATTATGCATCTGCTTTACCCTAAAGGAGTGGTGGCACAGCAGGATTTTCTTGAGTCTAGGCTGTGCTTGATAACTTCAAGTCTTCCAAAGATCAGTATCCACAGGAAACACCTTTACAGTGGAAAATTTTAACCACTCCTTCAGCCAAGCAACTTAAGTCAATGCCAGAAGTTGTCAATCACGCTGATAATGTGTACTATTGATAGGATATGAAAAATTCGCCTGTGTAATCTTCCTCCCTGAGCACATGATCTTATTGGGGTTGAGCTGCATGGTAGGCAGACAAATTCAGTAGTTGAGAATCCTACAGTATTGGTGACCAGTAATCCTCAAAAATTTGAAGGCACAAAAACAGCCTGCGAAGCTGGAATGTAGTGGTATATGCCTATAATCCCAGCAGTTGGGAGGCTAAGGCAGGAGGATCTTGAATTCATGGCCAGCCTGGAAATAGCAAGTCCCTGTCTCAAAACAAGACCAAGAAACTTTCTCTTCCATGAAGGGGAGCCTAAAGAGACATCCTAACTACATGTGATACAACTTGGATAGGATCTTGGAACCAAAATGTTTTTTACTGTATTTTAAAAACTATCTGAATATATTGTATACTTTTATTAATAACAACTATCACTACATTAATTGTAAGAAATGAACCATACTAG